TCAACGATCAAGATATCTCAAACTGCACGTCCCCCGAAGAACTTTCCTGTGCAACTTAACAATACGGACGAATTAACATAATCAGGCATACGTACACGTACGTCGCAGCAACGCCGGTTACATTAACTGTAATGAGTATGTTACAGCACTATACGAGAGAGAATACTCTAAACAGTTTAACCAATATTATCTGTATGGTACAGTCACGCGTTTTGCGATCCGCCTCGGTGAAACTAACTTCTCTGAGCTACCTGGAACAAGTCAACACGATAATCATACTTAAGTTCCTTTCATCAAAGTACATACAAAGTGTCTACAAATTCCAATAATTCCTACCTATCTCTAGCCTTTCAAACACATAGTTATTTCTTGCACGACAGTGGAAGCGTTAGACAGGTTTTCATAGAAGTCTCTATATTAGCTGATACTTTCGTGACTTGTTTTAAAACTCACAGATAAAAGATTTCCATAGACATGGCCTAGCTAAACAAGATGAAGTCTACTGAAAATTAGACAAAGAAAATTACCTTGATCACTAAAACGGAGCGATGCGGAGGTCACGTAGAGACTATTGGTTGAGCAGGGTGTTAGTCACCTCAGAGATGGACAGCAAAGGACTCCCGGCGTCCGGTTTGGTATCTGTGGGACAGTTGGGCCCATTCCCCCCGCTGATGATCCCACTACGTGCTGGTGCTGGGGGTGGTGGTGCTGTGGGTGGTACAAGACGTTGCTGTTGTTGGTGTTGCTGTCCTGGCCGATGCCCATGCCGACTCCCGTCCCCGTTCCCACAGCTGACGGGGGCGTGCTGCAACCGAAAGTACGTTCACCCGTTATTCGCAACCCCTTCCGAGCCCTCGGTTCAGTCCTGTCATTGCGGTACGCTTAATCATCTCGTTTCTAAAAGTATCGCCACAAAATTAATTCACCCTTCGTTCAACGTTCCGCCAATCCCGTTGATCGCCGTAACGCTTAACAAATGTGCAGTGATAGAAAATTAAAATGCGCTAAAACCTCGGGACCGAACAATCGACGCGGGCAAACCGTCCGAGAGAAATCATAAAGTGGACATGCAAAACACACAGAGATCCGTACGCGAACGGCCGGTCTAAAGAACATTCGTGCATTACTCCTACCATGCATGCCCAATCGAGAATCGCCCGGCGACGAAGATACGATCCGTACTAATTAACCGCGTATACGAACGCGAACGAACCCTTTCCCGGGACCTCCTAACATTACAATATAACACCGAACGTTCAAAAAACTTGTGAGGCAGCAGTGACACTCACTGGGGCGCGTGCCTTGGTGGTGCGGGGTGGTGATGGTGGTAGGGATAGTACTGGTAGTGGTGATGGTGTTGCACTCCTTGCCATACCTCGGAGCCCGCTTCCCCGTGCCCATGGCCCGGATGAGAGTGCGCGTATCCGATAGTGCTGGCTGCTGCAGCTGCGGCTGCAGCCGCGGCTGCCGCTGCTGCTTGATACTGTGACGTGGTCACCGGGTACTGCTGATGTTGTTGCTGCTGTTGCTGTTGTTGCTGCTGCTGCTGCTGTTGTTGCTGTTGCTGCTGCTGTTGTTGTTGGTGATGCTGATGTTGAGGTTGCGTCTTAGTCCTAGGCGAACTGGGCGCAGTGGTCTGCGGCTCGCTAGGCGAAGGTTGCCTCCATTTGCACTCTCCGTTTATGGAGTTCATCTCTGCTAGGGACTTTAGGGGATCACCAGCAGGCGCGTTCGTGGAGTGGGTGGACGAGTGGGTCGAATGCGGCGTCGGCGGGCTGTAGCTACCATTGTTCCTCGGTGGTGTGCGCGAAGGAGGCGCGCCCCACATCAGGACAGTCTGCCTAGGTGCCTCGTTCCCGTACACTTCCGGCTTCACGTCCTCTATTTTAGGGGTGAGCACGCCGTTCGTTGGTCCGGTCACCGGTGAGCTCCCAGCGGAATTGCTGGACGACGCTCCACCCTCTAAAGAGTGTCTGCTACCGGCTCGGACGATGTTGATGTCCGTGGTAGCTGTGTGCATCGTGGACGCGCTCGCGACTGGACTCGCCGCGTACGGGGATCCGCTGACGCTGCTGGGGTGTCTCGTCTCGACGTAGCTGTACTTCGGTGACTCGCCTAGCTGCTGACAGTACAGCTTGTCCTCCGCTTTGCTGGTCAGTTGGTGCGTCTCGTAGGTGGGCAGGGAGACGTCGATGAAGCCGTTGTACGCGGTACCCGTGTGGTATTCTGGGTAGTAGGAGCCTAGGGGCCTGTATTGGAACAGATTCTCCGTCGCAGCGGTTAAGTACCTAGGAAAAAGGATTTGCTTGGTTAATAGGGACTCTGTTTATTCTATTTTATCTTCTGACCAATATTTCATGCGCAAGGAATGAAATTATATGAAATTCTGTATTATTTTAAGCGGTATAGTTGGTAGGGTAGCGTAACATAAGAACGTTACTACGCGGTCAGCGATGATTAAGCAATTGGATGACTACCTATTGTCCAACGCGGTTGCCGGATATAGAGTCTGATGATAATTGCCCGTGTGGCCAATGTACGTTGTCAACGAGGGATCAGTGCTGGCCGCGACAGCTGTAGGCGCATACGGGGTCGGGTACATCGTGTTCAAGTTGCTGTACGCGGCTGCGACCGCGGCCGCGGCGCTCGTGTCCGCCGCGAGATAGTCCACGGACGGCACCGTGGGCGTGACCGGCGGCGAGACCGACGATTGCGCGGAAAGTTTGGTACGTTTGTTCCGACAGGTCGACAGGAAGTCCCTTAACTGCGTCTTGTACCGCCTGTTCACTCGTTGAGACGTCGGCTGGGTCGGAAGCGTCGGCGTCATCACGGATCCGGTCAGGCTGTCGCTATCAGAAAAATAGCTGTTGGTCAATCCGGCGTCCAAGTAGCTCACTTTGAAGTCCATCGTTCGCTTCCCTAAGAGATCCCTGCCTTCTTCTTCCCTGTGGGAAAAGAATAAATTAATGCATCAAATGCTCCGTTAATCATTACAGTATCGTCTTATAGCTCTACACTTAATATATGAAACTTTCAAAGCGAATCACTCACATGAGCGGTCTGTGTGTGCTGATGACGAAGTCAGGCTTCGAATTTTTGTAGACCAATCTAGAACTAGTCTGCAACCATTGCCACCCGCCGTCCTTCTTCTGGAATCTGTACGCTATCATTCCCGAAGCTCCAGTCTTCAGCACTGAAAATAAAACAAGAGTCAGCGCATGGTTTCCCGTGTCATCAACGCGTTCAACATAGAAGAATTCTCACGTTCTTGATGGGCGCTCGCGACGTAAGCCAAGTCGTCGTAATGGACTAGATCGTATCCACCGAGGTTCGCGAGCTCAGCGTCAGAGTATCCCAGCAGCATCTTCCCTCGCTGATCCATGGAGACTAGTGCGAGATCCAGCTTGTGTTTGCTCTTGAACATCACGTCCTTTTGCGGGACCTCGAGCAGGGACGGCGGTCCGAACGGTGTGCAGAGGGCGAACAGAGCCAGCGGCGGCTCCTCCGTTTTCCTGTTTTGGCCGTGGAGAATCTTGACCCGTCCCCTGATGTCCAAACGCTGGAACCGGGAGTCAACGTGCCGTGATCAACGATGCGCGAGTAACGGTACGCAGAATCGAAAAAGATATCCGAAAGCCACGAAAAATACGGCCGGGCAGATCTTCGGACCTGTCCATCGATGGTACTTGTCGTCCATCGTCCACGAAAACACGCGTAAATCAAATCCCGGGCAAAACCAGGTCCGGCCTTTGCGCCGGCGAGCCGCGTCCCAGCAAAACACTAATTATCTTACGGCAAACAGCCAGCGAATACAGAAGTTAACGGAACAAAGACAGCCGAACAGCTATAAAGGGCAACGACGAGCACGGGCAGCGAGGGACACGAACGGGCCACGGGCAACCGCGCAAAAAGACCGCCGGCTCTGACGTTTATGAAAATGAAACTGTAATCGTAAAAGCTTTACGGCGAGAACGACACCGGCTCGAGCCGGCGTCCCTCGCGCCAACACGGACGTCCTCCGTTTTTACCGTAATCCGCGCGAGATCATCCTCGACACCTTAGCCCCGCGGATCCTCTTCCCTGGCTGATGGCGTTTTCTTCTCGCCTCCGCTTCAAAGGAGAGTTAATGCGTCGCGGAACTTCGGCATTACCGGGGAAGAGTCTCGTTTAACTCGAGAAAAACCGAGGGATACCCCTCCGGTTACAAAATATTGAAAATATGTTATTTCTCTTCTACTACATTAACCGAAAGAATTTGTTTCTTAATGGCTCCGTTCCTTGAAATTCCCGTTGAAAAATCATTTTACGTTCGTTAAAGATATTTTTTGAACGACGAGATATTCTAGTAGTAATTACAATCGAAGATCGCAAGAACAAGAAGATTAATAGACCGGGGACACTCGCACGAGGAATTTAACGCGCGCGACTCGATCGGTCTCCCGTCTCAACGGTTTTCCAGATCATTCTCGATCCGAGAGCGCAGCGGCCGTATTCGACGCAGCACAGGAGTCGCAATCTTACGCGAGATGAGGGCTTGAAAAAATACACAAACACGCGGAGTTTAATGGAACTTCCGCCAAGAAAAAGGCTCCGTAATTCCATCGGGCAGATACCGGAGAGAGAAAAAACGCGGTAATTACAGCCGGACGGGGAAAAACCACCCTTTTCCCCCGCAATTAAGTTCCATTATCGCGAGCCACGGGGTTAAATACGACTCCCGGTGGCAATTATGAAAATTTGATGTAAAAATCCGATCGATAGGCCGCGACGACGTACCGTGCGACGCTCGATCGAGCGTTCCAGATGGTTACGGGGCGGGGTGCGCGGCGACGGGGCGTGGGGCGGTTTTCACGGGATGCCGAACGCACGGAAGACAGCAGCACGAAAACTCCTCCGCGGGTCAAAGTATCATCCGCGATCGCGTGACCGTGTGTTTCAATGAATGAAGGAAAGTTGCGTACTCGTGGAATGTTGCACGGAACTGCGTCGCGGCATGCGAGACGTTCCATGGATCGAGGGATCGGCTC